ACGAGCCGCCCTGTTCTGGATTATCTTCTGATCTCCAACAAATATAAGAACTGACCAAGACGGTGATGCAATCTCATGTCATTAAAACGCAAATCACAGTCGTATAAAGTCGACAAATATGTGATACATGAAGAAGTGAATAGTTGTGAAAATGACAGTAAAATAATAGTAAAAATAATATAGTTGTTTTTTTGTTTAGTTTTTTATTAAAATGAGCCACACAGAACAGGCCTGTGTTGTGTTTCTGTGTGGTTCTGTGGTGATGAACTGAGACGCTGTGACAGATTTGAGCCTCGTGCTTTTCGCTCTAAACCAGAAGAATCAAACTCAAATTCACAGAGGCCAAAATGAAAAACTGGGACTAAGTCGTGGGACAAACTAAATATTTATTGAAAAATTTCTCTGCATCTGCATGTTTTCTCTTCTTTCCAGATGTGTAATGTTAAACCATTTCTTATTGAAATAAATGTTTAATAATAGTTTTACATAAACATTGAATCCAGAACAAACAGAATATAAAATAATAACAACATTTTAAATAAATAATGTGTTTATAGTCGATCTGTGTGCAGCGGCAGCTCTAATACAGATTTGATACATGAAAATTTGGCCAAAGAGATTGTATTGGTCATGTTATTTTCCTTAACGTGACACACACAGCGACAGCTCGACAAGTGTGTCAGCGCGTCGACTCTTTTGGCCCATCATTAATCACACAGTGGAACAGAGCGTTTTGAGCTGTGAAGATGTAAACAGACTGATAATAAAGAGTTACTCAAACATGTGAATGAAACAAACACAACTCCAGCTCTGTTTTTGACGAGGAAACATTAGAACAAGTTAGAAAGTACTAAATGAGTTTTTATTATGATTGTGGTATCAGAATCAGTATTGAGTTTGACATTTTTATATCCTGACAACACTAATTCATAATACTTACATGTAAATATAAATATTGTAAATAAAAGTGTTGTTTTTCCACAGCTCCCAAGTGCGGCTTCATCATTTCAAACGAGAGGATCTCACATCTGCTGGGGCTGGTGAAGCCGGAGATATTTGCCCTCAGAGAGACGATGGTTAATGTAAGAAATATTCTGTCTGACTTTTTATTTTTAAACTTAAACACATTTCCACATTTCCCTGTAGTGACGATGTGTTTGTGTAGATCACCTGCTGGATCCATCACCTCATCCCCAAAATAGAAGACGGAAACGACTTTGGAGTCGCGATTCAGGTCTACTACTACTACTACTACTACTACTACTACTACTACTACTACTACTACTACTACTACTACTACTACTACTACTACTACTACTACTACTACTACTACTACTACTACTACTACTACTACTACTACTACTACTACTACTACTACTCTACTACTTCTGTTACTACTGCTGCTGCTGCTGCTGCTGCTACTACTACTACTACTACTACTACTACTACTACTACTACTACTACTACTACTACTACTACTACTACTGCTGCTACTTACTACTACTACTACTACTACTACTACTACTACTACTACTACTACTACTACTACTTACTACTACTACTACTACTACTGCTACTACTACTACTACTACTACTACTACTACTACTACTACTACTACTACTACTACTACTACTACTACTACTACTACTACTACTACTACTTTTACTACTACTACTACTACTTCTACTACTCCTACTACTCCTACTACTACTCTACTACTACTACTACTACTACTACTACTACTACTTTACTACTTTTACTACTACTGCTGCTACTTCTACTACTCTACTACTACTACTACTACTACTACTACTACTACTACTACTACTACTACTACTACTACTTTTACTACTACTGCTGCTACTTCTACTACTACTACTACTACTCTACTACTACTACTACTACTACTACTACTACTACTACTACTACTACTACTACTACTACTTTACTACTTTTACTACTACTGCTGCTACTTCTACTACTCCTACTACTCCTACTACTACTACTACTACTACTGCTGCTACTACTCTACTACTACTACTACTACTACTACTACTACTTTACTACTTTTACTACTACTGCTGCTACTACTCCTACTACTACTACTACTACTACTACTACTACTACTACTACTACTACTACTACTACTTACTACTACTGCTGCTACTCCTACTACTCTACTACTACTACTACTACTACTACTACTACTACTACTACTACTACTACTACTACTACTCTACTACTACTACTACTACTACTACTACTACTACTACTACTACTACTACTACTACTACTACTACTACTACTACTACTACTACTACTACTACTACTACTACTACTACTACTACTACTACTACTACTACTACTACTACTACTACTACTACTAACTACTACTACTACTACTACTACTACTACTACTACTACTACTACTACTACTACTACTTCTACTAATACTACTAACTACTTCCTACTACTACTACTACTACTCTACTATACTACTACTACTACTTACTACTACTACTCTACTACTCTACTACTACTGCTGCTACTACTACTGCTACTACTTACTACTACTACTACTACTACTTCTACTACTACTACTACTACTACTACTACTAGTACTAATAATAATAATAATAATACTTCTTCTACTTTTACTACTACTGCTGCTACTACTAATACAGGAGAGATGATCTGTGCTGTTAAACCATTCAGCCATAGATACACATGTAGAACACCCCCTGAAAAGTATCAATAACCAAACAGATTTAAATTAGTTAGTTAAAGTTACTACTGTTACTGCAGCTGTCGTCGTCTCAGTAGCAAAAAACTTTCCTCTTCCTAAATCTTTTTCTTATTTTTCTCACTTCAGGAGAAAATTCTGGAAAGAATCGCCGCGGTCCAAAAGAAAATGGACGAGCTGCTCCCGAACATCAACAAGTGAGGCACATTTGAACTTTCCTTTAGTCTCAGATTTGATTATTTGTGTGAGTTTAGTTTGAATGTGGTGTTTTGTTCAGGTATTTGTCGGAGAGAGGAGACGCCGTCGCCAAAGCCTCCAAAGAGACACACGTGGTACGTTTCATTCTTTTTTATTCATCATTTCATAATGACACCGAGACACAGGCTGGCGGTACAATTCCAGCTCTCACACATGAATGCTGTCGTTGTGTCCATGGGCAAGACACTTGACCCCTCACCCTGCGTTTGGCGTATGAATGTGTGAGTGAATGAGGCAAACAGAGCCTCAAACCTGCATCTAGTATCATCCATCCATTTTCTTCCACTTTATCTGGGGCCGGGTCACGGAGGCATCAGTCTAAGCAGGGACTCCCACACTTCCTTCACCCCAGACACTTCCTCCAGCTCCTCCAGTGGGACCTGAGGTGTTCCCAGTCCAGTCCAGAGACATAGTCCCTCCAGTGTGTCCTGGGTCTTCCCCGGGGCCTCCTCCTGGTGGGACATGAACACCTCCTGAGGGAGACGCCAAGGAGACATCAGAACAGACGTCCTCCCCTCGGACGCTCCTCTCCACGTGGAGGAGCAGTGGCTCTACTCCGAGCTCCTCCTGTGTGACTGAACTCCTCACTCTGTCTCTAAGGGAGACGCCCAGATGCCCTGCGGAGGAAACTCATTAAATATTGGAAATGGAGGTCAAAATTAGTTGTTTTTTTTACACTAAAACAGAAAAACAGTAAATCCCATTTTATTGTTTTTTGTTCTTAACTGAAATTCAAAAGAACGAATGGTACACGTTCCTTTTACTCATGGTTATTCTTGGCTGATGTTGCCGTGTTTCAATAAAGAATTATTTTATCTTATTATGTAAAACTGACTCTGTGAGCTTTGAGCCGTGTTATAATGTTGTTATGTTGTTACCTCCTCAAAAACAACACATTTTGATCTTGCTTTTTTCCAAATGTTAATCTTTTAGCTCTAAGTGACTTGTTTTTAAATCCACGTCTGTGTTTTCAGATGAATTATCGCTCTCTGGTCCATGAAAAAGACAGAGACATGTTCCAGGAGGCCAGAGTGGTCCTGCTGGACATCCGCAGTCTCTACGTGAGTCACTAAATATTATAAACTTTTACCTGTAGTAATAGTAGTAGTATGTAGGAGTAGTAGCAGCAGCAGCAGCAGCAGCAGCAGCAGTAGTAGTAGCAGTAGTAGCAGTAGTAGTAGTGCATGAGCGCCCCCTGCAGGTGTAATCCTGTGAGTCCAGTTTGGGTCAGAGACCCAGAGTTTTGAGAGATTTAACCACTGCCCCTTTTTTAATTGTAGTAGTAATAGTAGTAATAATACTAATAGTAGTAGTTGTAGTAGTAGTGGTAACAGTAGTAGTAGCAGAAGTAGTAATAGTAATAGCAGTAAAGCAGTAGTAGTGGTAGTAACAGCAGTGTTGTTGTTGTAGTAGTAACAGTAGTAGTAGTAGTAGTAGTAGTGTAGTTGTAGTAGTTTAGTAGTAGCAGCAGTAGACGTCGTAGTAACAGTAGTTGTAGTAGTAGTTTTAGTAGTAGCAGCAGCAGTAGTAGTAACAGCATTGTTGTAGTAGTAGTAGTTGTAGTAGTTTAGTAGTAGCAGCAGTAGTTGTAGTAGTAGTTTTAATAGTAGCAGCAGCAGTAGTAGTAACAGCAGTAGTGTTAGTAGTAGTAGTAGTAGTAGTAGTAGTAGTAGTAGTATCAAAAACTGAGAAACGTTTCAATTTTAAAAAGTGCAAATGCTTTTTTTTTGTTTTTAGACTGAATTTTACGACGTCATCAACAAAAATCTGGACAAAGTGACCAACCCCAAAGGAGAAGAGAAGTCCTCCATGTACTGAGCCCGCAAAGTACTGCGTGTACTGAGCCCGCAAAGTACTCTCTGTACTGAGCCTGTGCGACGCTCCAGTTTCACATACACAAATACAAACAAATATCAATATAATCAATACAATCAATGGTTTGTGGGTTTTCAATAATGATTTTTTTTTTTACAATTGACCAGTGGAAAAACTCTTCAA